TCTCTCTCTCTCTTTCTACGCTTTGTATATCGGAGTTTATCGGCATATTGTGAGAAAGAAACATCCGAGAGATGCACGCGACGTTAACCTAACCTATTCTCGTCGCACAACAAACATCGATTTCTTTTTACCGCGTAAACATTTTTCTCGCACAAAATCTGACTCGGTGGTACGCCATCAAATCTCGTTACATTATAATACTTTAGCAGCTGTCGTGTGTCTGACGCATATATGAGCAATCGGTAATATTGAAGGTCATCTCCGACTCGGGGTCGACTAATCGTCTCATGTTTGCAAGCTTCAAACTCTCTCGAAAGCATTACCGAAAAAATGATGGTAGTGAAGTTGATTTATTTTCATTACTTACCATATATTAGTAATCTTTTATTCTAATGTTTTGTTTGATACAAAATGTTTGTAAAATTACTGCTACAGCCATTTACATATATGTATTGGCGATAACCTATTAAAATGAAATACTAAAAAAGCTATTAAAAAAGCTTAATACTCTCTTCATTAATTCGTTTCTCATTTTATAACACTCGCACGAGATGTCACTTTTTAAAAAATAAAACTAATTTTAAATTGTAGAATTTCATGATACAGAGTGAAAAAGGACCTATCAAATTTCACATCATATACATCATATAGCTAACTTTCTTAAATTTCTTTATAAATTATTTTCTGAATATCTTTACTCAGAGATGACATCTTATTAAGCATTTGTACATTTTACAAGAGTGTTATATAACATCAGTGGTATTAATTTGAATCTTGGTACATTTAATTTATGTTTCTTAATTTCTATCATGAAAGTATTTTTATGATAGAACATTGAGATCTGAGAAAAAAAAACAATTATTATTTGTCTTTTATTAAACAATATAAAAGTTTATATAGATTATTACTTTGTCATATTCATTATATTTTAGAATTTTTGAATGCAAATGTAATATAAACAAATGAATATCGTAACCTGTTAAAATTACATTATGTCATAAAGTTACATACAATACAAATAAAAATTTAGTGAAGTTCTTGCCTAAAAATTTATAAAATTGCATCAAATATTTTTTTTATCTTATTGCTTTTTATCGCTTCTATGTAAATGTTTCCCACATTCTCTAATAACCTGAGAAATGAATCAAGTAACATATTACCAAATGGTTACACAGAGAATAAGGTAGTGTAGATTTAATTTT